TCTGTGAGTTGGGTTTTCGACCATCGCATGCTGATCATTCACTGTTTATCTTTCGTCGGGGGAGTATTCATGTGACTGCTCTCATCTATGTTGATGATGTCATCCTTGCAGGAACATGTCTCGACTTCATTTCTCATGTCAAGCAGTTCTTGCATTCTCGTTTCAGTATTAAAGATCTGGGAAATCTTCGGTTTTTCTTGGGGATTGAGGTAGCTCGCTCACCGGAAGGCATTGTTCTTAGCCAACGGAAGTATGTTCTTGATATTCTTCAAGACTCTGGTGTACTTGGAGGCCGACCCAGTGCCTTTCCTGTTGAGCAGAATCACCATCTCACTCGTCCTACACAGGCCGACCATCCTGATCCGGCAGCTTATCGTCGACTGGTAGGACAGTTACTCTATTTAACTGTCACTCGACCAGACATCACTTACGGTGTCAACATTCTCAGTCAGTTTGTCCACGCACCTACCCGTGCGCACATGGACGCGGCCCAGAGGATTCTGCGATACCTAAAGGGTGCTCCTGGTCAGGGTCTTTTCTTCTCAACAACTGCTCCCCTTGATCTAGTGGCATACTGCGATGCAGATTGGGGTGGATGTGAGTTGACACGTCGTTCCACAACAGGTTATGTCATCACCCTTGGGGGTGCTCCAGTTTCTTGGCGTACTAAAAAGCAGCAGGTTGTTGCACGTTCTTCTACAGAGGTGGAGTATAGAGCCATGGCTAGCACAGTCAGTGAGGTACTTTGGTTATGGTGGCTCGTATCCGAGCTCGGTGCTCCTCAACATGAGCCTACTCCTCTTCATTTTGATAATCAGGCGGCTATTCACATTGCCGCCAACCCAGTTTTCCACGAGCGTACGAAGCACATCGAGATGGACTGTTATTTCGTTCGTGAACGAGTTCAGTCAACTGACATTGCACCCTTGAAGATTAGTTCTCGGCTTCAACTGGCAGATATGTTCACGAAAGGCCTTGGGGCGGAACGTTTTCACTTCCTATTGTCCAAGCTGCGCGTTCGCAATCTCCACGCTGCAGCTTGCGGGGGAGTAATGGATTTGGGCCAACAAGCCCAACCCACAGGGACAAGAGAGTCCACTGCCGAGTCCAGTCATAGGGCAGCTGTGTCTCACATGTGTATGCTTTCTAATTGTCCTTGTAGTCTAACCCTAGTTGATAGAAACAAATGGTATAAAGAGTCCTGTACAGGCTACGGCCGAAATCAACAAGAAGAATAAAAGATCAGCCGGAGAGCAAAGCTCTCCCGTGGACTAGTCCCGACATTCGGGGAAACCACGTAAATCATCGTCTCGTTTTCTTATCGCTTTATCAAATTTCTCATCGAACGAACCTTTTTGGTAATTATCCAGAAAACTACGTCAAAGACAAAAACCTATTTAGCATGTCTCATTACATAAGCACTTTATTGAATGATGGAATCTAAACTCAAGTGACAGAAAGTATAACAATCAGAGTTTACGTGGTATCATTGGAATTCCAGGACTAATTTACAGAAGAGCGGCAGATTCTTCGGCTATGGATTTAGCTCGGTATTTGTCTTTCCCGCTGCGGCTTACATATGAATATATATACATATGTCAGGCCATAGGTTTAGTGTCAACGATCAATGCCTAAACTTGCATGTGCGACATTGACAATAATTCCCACTACAAAATGAACCACCTACAACAGGAACTTTTCTGACATTTACGAGAAAATAAATTGTCGCTAACTAATCCGCCAGCGCAGTGTTGGAGCTAGGATTCAGCGTTCGGCGGGGGGTAATTTCTATTTTGTAACCTTAAGAAGACGATTAAATTAAAAAATATATTTTAATATTATTATGATCATAAAATTTTGTATAAGCATTATGATAATAATTTTAGATGATTAGAGTCAATCAAAATAAGAAATAAACTTAAAATTTATGTCGTGCTACAATATATATTGAAAATGATCAACAAATTAATAGTACATTTCAATGTTGTGTACCACATTCTAGTTTCATACTTGAAAATCAATGTCTAGTATTTTATAAAGAATTTGAATTATTCACCCGAAAGTATTCTCTAACATTTTAAACTTGAAATAAAGGGCTTAAGGAATCATATTGAAATTGACAAAACTAAGAAATCAACATAAGATAAAAGTTAAATGGATAATTATTGGAACATAAAGCTTAAATTTGAAATTAAAGGAACATATATTCATAAGATAAAAATTAATCGACTAATTATTGATACATACTAAAACTGATAAGAACCATAATATAAAAAATAACCGAGTAACTATTGGTAGTGAAAAGAAACAAAAACTAACATGTCAGTGCTTGCTAGGTTTGAACCAGCGTTGCGGAGGAAAATTGTAAAGTTCCCAACCCCTGGGCTAGTTTACCTTCTAGTATGATTGACGCACACAGTAGTCTTTTACTAATGGCTTTAGCAGCGATTTTTGCAGTAGTTGAGACCGTCGCAATGGTCATGTTTGAGACGATTCAATATTTGATGGTTTAAGTACCCCTGCTACAACGGCACAACCTGCCAACTTCACCCAAGTACACATCACCCATGGCACACATTGTCCAAAGGAAACTAAACGAATAGAAACTCAACGACCAACAATTCAAATCAAAGTAATGCTCTTAAGCTCGAACAATGACAAGTGCTAGTAAGATCCATAAAGTCAAACTTTGTTGTCTTCTGAATCGTCCGTCCACCTATATCATGTATTGCTTTTCTTTTAAACCCATATTCACCTGTTACAAAGCCATAAAAACAAAAAGTTGTCATACAAAATAGTTTGGAGAAGATAATCAACACTTAGCAAGAAAAAGGATTCAAGGCAACAAAAAAAAAAGCCCCTGGAAATACACAACTAGAAGAGAAATAAATAGACTGACATACAAAATCCAGACCGATCCTAAACACATGATGAATAGACAAAAAAAAAAACCACTACAACACTTTCAAGCATAAAAGCAACAAGATGAAATGAAACAAACTAATTGCTATGAGATTAGAAGCATACAGATTCTACTAGTTACTTTCTACCACATCTACACCAACTATATATATATACTTCCCTTCTTACAGTAACCAACCAAATAGTGCCACTACTAAAAAACTGTGTTTTAGTCAGCGGAAAATAGTCACTGGTCGTGTTCCGGTCGCTATTAAAATTATAGTAGTCACCGGACACATAACCGGTCGTGGGGCAGCAGAACCACTTCTTCCTGAGGATGCATCTTTACCGAATTCGTATTATGAGTCCAAATGGGAGTGGTGAGAAATTCTATAAGTTATTAAATGACTCTCAATCACCAGTATATACTGTAAGAGTTCTATGTTGTCCACTATAGTGAAACTTCATCATATAAAGACTATGGGCAAGTGGAGTAATGAGTCATTTACAATGTTGCTGAAAATGTTGAAAGAAGACCTTCTTCCTGAGGATGCATCTTTACCGAATTCGTATTATGAGTCCAAAATGATCATTGGGACCTTGGCCTCTCATACATAAAAATTTATGCTTGTGAAAATAGTTGCATGCTATTTAGGGATGATTATGCAGCACTTGATGATTGTAAGGTGTGTAAAGTGTCGAGATGGAAAGTTGAGCAACATACCGGGGAAGTCATGCGTAAAGCCAATGGAAAGAGATTGCCCATGAAAATCTTACGATACTTTCCACTGAAACCACGACTTCAAAGGTTGTTTATGTCATCTAAGACAGCTTCATTTATGAAATGGCATTATGAGAACAAAGTTGGTGATGGGGTTATGAGACATCTCGCGGATTCAATGGCTCGGAAGTCATTTGATAACCTTCACAAGCCATTTTCAAGTGATCCTAGGAATGTGAGGCTTGGACTTGCTAGTGATGGTGTTCAACCATTTGCCAATTCTAAACACCATATAGTATTTGGCAAGTAATGTTGATTCCATACAACTTGCCTCATTGGATAATAATGAAACCATCCGATTTCATTTTGTCCATGTTGATTCCTGGTCCTGAAAGTCCGACAGATTTATAGATGTCTACCTACCACTTTTGACAGAATAATTAAAAGATTTATGGTAAGTAGGAGAGTGTACTTTTGATGCATCAGCTGGCCAAAATTTCCAATTACATGCTTCTTTATTATGGACGAACAATGACTTCCCTGCTTATGCAAATTTATCCAGGTGGAGTACCAAGGGCACATTTGCTTGTCCTGTCTGCAATAAGGACATAGATGCTAAGTGGCTGAGAAATGGGGGCAAGTTCTGTTATCTGGGTCATCAGTGTTGGCTGCCGCATAGTAATAGTTGGAGGAAGGACAAAGATTCATTCTATGGTACAAGGGAAAAAAGAGGTAGACCCATAACATTTTCTAGAAATGTTGCAATGGATCAAAGTCAAGATCTTGCTGGAATTCAGTTAATTACAAAGTGCCCAAAGAACAAAAAGTGAAAATCTCACACAACAACAGGATAGGTAATTGGAATGAAAAGAGCATCTTCTTTGAGCTTCCTTATTGGAGATCATTGTTATTGCGTCATAACTTAGTACTGAGAAAAATGTTTGTGATAACGTGATTGGAACAGTTTTGAACTTGAAAGGAAAGACAAAAGATACTTTGAAATCTCGTATGGACTTGGAAGAGTTGTGACTAGAGCCTAAATTGCATCCAGTTCGACAAGGGGGGTTGGTCAAGTTCCTGATGCAAGATACACATTGTCGTGTGATTCCAAGCGCAAGTTCTGCCTAGATACAATATGATGAACATCACATTTAACAACTTTCAATTTGCACCAACGGGCATCCAATTTGCTTAATTTTATGTGTACTTTATAGTAACTCAGCTAAGTTAATGGAGGCTTGATTAAGTCTATTTCCGTCGTATTTTTGTTTAAGTACTTAACTCTCGTATGAAATTTGTATTTTAAAAAAATGTGTACGATTCGATTTGTTGATGTATTAAGATAAACAAGAGAAGCGCATACAGACAAGTAATTAAAACCAAAATATTATCTTCATTAATTTCCCCATAAGAACATTCGTATGAGTATACATATGAAGTCATTTATTGGTACAACAAGATCACAAATTAGAAGAAAAATACTGGAAACTTATTATTAGACACCAACGTCACAAATATTATCTTCATGCATGCACGTAGCACCACGTTTGGTCGTCGAACTAATAGATGCTTAATTAAGGGCATTGGAAGCCAGATGGAACCTTCTGGTTACAGGCATTGAGAAGCAAGCTGAGAGAGACTGGAACGTTGAGGTTGATCCCGAGGATGTTGGCTTTAATGGCGGTGCAAAGGCAGACGGCGGCTTCAACATCAACGAGCCCATTGATCAAGCTACAGCAAGGTTGAACCGGTGGGCTCCCGAGCTTCAGATTGAGCAGATTGGCAAGCACATCGGCGCAAACGCCCAGCTTGAGTGCATCAATCGGGCACTTCCCGCCGCCGCCGGTGGAAGGAGTTGTAGGGCTAGGAGGAGTTGGTTTAGGGGTGGACGGAGTTGTAGGGCTAGAAGGAGTTGGTTTAGGCGTAGGTGGAGTTGTAGGGGTAGGAGGAGTTGGTTTGGGCGTAGGCGGAGTTGTAGGGGTAGGTTTCGGATTAGGGCAGCCACCACCGCAGGCAGAGGCCATGGAGAAGAAGAGAAGGTTGAGAGCTAAGAAGAGAGCCATGGCCGAGCTGGTTTGGGAAGCCATGTTTTGATAATGTTTAAGCTAAGTGAAGAAGAGAGAAGAGTGGCTTTGGTGGTTTGGGTTTTGGGAATGAACCCTGTGTAGGGTTTTTATATGCCCGGCTCTGAGGGATTGATGACGAAGCTAGTATATTCTAGTGAAAAATAATCGAAGGAGAATATTATGAGGGCATGAAGTCATCATGTATTTGTGGACTTTGCAATATTTAATTAGCTTCATTTACTCTTTGCACGGGAATTTAAGGGCCAACTTTTGGAAGCTTGTTGGTCGACTACTTACTAGTAGCATCAACAACTTGCCATGCACATTCTTTTTTCTTTGAACCTTACCATGCATGTTCCCACCTGGTGTTTTTGTTTTTTTATGAATGCGATGAACTTTATTAAAAGAAATAAAAGGGTTCAATAATAACGCTCCACAAGCAGTGAGAGCGAAAGAAACAGAGAATGAGATAGAAATAAAAACGAAAGCAAACCAAGAGAAAAAAGAGCGGAACAAAAACCACTCGCGGACAGGAGAAAACAAAAAACTGCGGTTCCTTGTTCACGGGAGTGGTTACAGTGATTACTATATAAAAATAGTAATCACCATGGTTATTGAGGGTAAATTGGGTATGAAAAATAAATTATATTAATTAATTAATTTTAATAAATTACATTTTAGGTTGTTACAAAATCTATTAATTACAATTCTTTCTCTTTCTTTCACTTCCGTAATCTCCAGCCAGATCTTCTTTTCATATTTTTCTCAATCTTTCTGCAAAAGAAAAAACACAAAATCTCTACCAATCCATTAACAACCACTACCATTTTGAAAAACATCAATACCATTACAGAAATAAATATATACCATTACACGAAAACTATAAATATAAACAATCTATACAATTAGAAAAGTCAAACAAATACCAAAACAATCATTACCACTACTACTAAGAAATCAAAACAATGCCATTGCATAAATATATCAATACAAACACTACCAAAACAAATACAGAGAAACTACTAAAGCATAATGCAAACACTACCAAACCAAATGCAGATAACTACCAAAACATAATGCTCCATCTAACCAACATAAATGCAGGTAACTACCAAGGAAAATGTAGGTAACCACCAAAGCATAATGCAAACACTACACAAGCATAATGCAAACAGTACCAAAATAAAATGCAAGGTAGCTACCAAAGCAAATCATATACCAATGCAAACACTACCATTCTAGATTACCTGCAGAAGCAAAGCTGGACGCTCCCTCCGACAAAATGTATTTGACCTCTCTGATCGAGTTCCCGTTTCTGACCACGAATTATACCAAACACAGGAATTCATTTGACAATGAATTATACACGTCAATTCATTTTCTTTCGAAAGATTTGAATATAACATATCAAACACAAGATTTCATTTGACAATGAATTTTACAGGGTAATTCATTTTACAATGAAATGAATTCTAGATTCATTTGGTACCAAACAGTCTGTTAAGAGTTACGTTCGTAGTTGATTTGAGATAGTTGGATGTTTATGTACGATTTCAGTTAAGCTTCTTATATGAAGCAAAATTCTTCGCCAAAATTAAGGTAAATTTCATGATCATAAATCATGGTGAGAGATGAATCCGAACACACATAATAGATATTTCTATTATGTGTCATTCTAAACAAATAATGACAGTGGGATATATTTGGACTATTAGCCTCTTTTATTCAAAATCAATACATTATACCATTGGATGAGATCGTGAAAGTAAACTTTGATCTCTAGTAGTATTAAATTTGGACAAAGTCCTCTAAAATCTAAGACTAGAGTCTCATTAAAAACTGCGGTTTAGGTTTAGCTAGCAACCATGCATGCACCATGTCGACAAACAACCATGAGTGGACAGTATTTTACGAGGCCTTCAACTTCAACCAAATCGTCTGGAGTTCATCCTTTGACCATCTGCTGATGCTCATCGTTGATTTGAACTAATCGAACGAACCTCTTAGGTCATTAATTATCCAGAAAAATGCCTCAAAGGCAAAATCCTGTTTAGCATGGTGATTACTGATCAGTACTTTGTGTTGTCTTCCAACTGCTGCTCACATATGAAAAGATACATTTATAAGGGTAATATAGAGTTATTATTTTGTGGTTTAGGGTACTAATTAAGTTATTCAAATTTTGAACCTTCAAGTTGAAAGTCAGTGGTATTATCACTAGGGGTGGGAAACGGTGCGGTCCGGTCCAGACCAGACCATAGATACGGTCTGTGGTCCAGACCGAGAGGTTGGAACACAGACCATGGACCAGACCATATACTATACGGTCCAGACCAGACCACACCTGTGCGGTGCGGTCCGGTATGGTCTGGACCAGACAGACCATGTTAAAAAAAATTAACTCTTGTTCGCCCTCTAACCCTTCACCGGTATCTATAAAAAAAATCTAGTGACCAATATGCTAGTGAAACAAAAAATTGTGATCGTATTTAATGAGAAGAAATATGAGGATAGAAGTGGATTTTTTCAATTTTCAAATAGCCTTATTTCTCTATTCCTCTTTGTGCTACGGCTTCTCTCCTCTCTCGAGTGATCTGAAGGTTCTCCCAGTTGATAACCTTTTTTATGACATCGAGGTAATTTCGGACCACTAAGATGGTCGCATATCTCTCAATAATTTTCCTTATCTCATCAAGGTGAACGAATTTTTTTGTAGTGTTTAATTTTTATCGACTCCATAGTCTAGACATTATCTGTGAATATTATATATGGGTCTTTCTAATTTTTGTGTGGTACTTTTATAAGGAGATAACATATAAGCAATCATTTTGCAATTTGTTGGCTCTCAACTAGATGAAGAATCAACTAACTTTGTTCTTCAAATACACATATGGAGGTTCAATTTAGTGTTATTTTTGTCCAAGGTAGTAGGTAGTGTGTCGCGGTCTGTTACGGTTTACTGCGGTAGACCGCGGTCCAGACCACTTCAGACCACGCACTAAAGGAGGAGACCGCAAACCAGACCAGACCATAGTTCTGGTCTCACGGTCCAGACCAAACCATACGATACGGTCCTGACCGCGGTTTCCCATACGGTTTGGTCTGGATTCCCAGCCCTAATTATCACTAGCCAAGCCCTTGTTCGTATGTATATATACATGTTCATCCTTAGGTTTAGTGTCAACTATCAAAGTCTATTCGTGGCCTTCACGCTTCATCCACCTAATGAGAACGGCTAATGTGAATGGCTAATTGCGCTATTATCATCTCAGCGTTCACTACAAAAAGTCAAAAAGGAATAGATTTGGGGACTAGTATTTGGGGACAACTACTATATGTTGTCTTCGCAAATATATTTTTAAGTACTATTAGGGACAAAACATATAAATTGTCCCCACTGAATAAGGAATGCAAATTTATTAATTCCAACTTTTGATTACTTGTCCCCAAAAATATAAGTTCGGGAAAAGAAATGTAAAACCAACGAGATTTGGGGGAAATATTTTTTTTTTAACTATATATAATCTTTTGCCCTCTAATTAAGATCAGCAAGTTGCCAAGTTATCTCTTTTAGCTAAACTTTCTCCATTTTTTCCTCCGAATTTTGTTTTACCGTGTACACCTTGAAATTTTTTACTTTGGCTTTTTGTTTATGTACTTTTGGACTCTCGGATAGTTTTATAGACTTAGTTCATCTACTGTACTCCAAAGTATTGGTGCAAGTACAAGTTGAATTTTTACCATAATGTTAAAAATACAAGTTTAGTTTGTACTATAAAGAAATCATAAAAAAAGTATAGATAAAAACTAAACGTGTATCATGATGTTCACCTTACAAGTTCAGTTTGTACCATAAAAGAATTTGTACGAAAAGGTATAAGAACATATTGAATTCAAAAAAGCATGATTTTGATTTAATTGATAAATACATAATTCTTGGTGCTCTAAAAACGTCATTCTCTAAGAATAGCAAGGTTTAGGAAACCGTACCGGAGGTTATATCGGAAAAGGGAACGGTAGGTTAATTTGTACGAAAATCGTGGTTTAACCGTGATTGAACCGTTTCCTAGCGCTAAAACCGCCTACCTTTTTGGGTGCGATATCCGGTATTTCTGATCCATCCGGCCGGTAAGGTAAGGTTTCCTAAACTTTGAAAAATAGACGCTCTCACGCTTTTGCTCCCCGCTCTCACTCTCACTCCACGAATCGGTATCCTAAATCCCTACCTCTTTCGGAATAGTAAATACTAGATAGTGTTCATCATTTGGTCTAGATCACTCCACCCACTTTACCATCCCTACTTTTTCTATATCCAACTTAATATACAAGTTATACCCAACAATTCCAATCTTTACCATGATCAGCAAATGATTTAATTCCATACTAATCTTATAGCTATGATTGTATTAGGAACGAAAGAGAAGATATCGACGCGCGTATGTTATTTTTAATTGATTAGAAATGAGAAGACAAATAATAAAGGTAATCTGAAAAAAGCTAAAAGTTTCAAAAAGGAGAATAAGTTCGCATCCCGCCAATAATCATATATATATATATATACATCTTAATTAACTCAGATATATTTATATTTTTAGTTTAACCATAATTACCTTATATATTTACAATCCCTTAACTATCTCTTCCATCCACGACTCTTATATCTTTCCCCTCTTTTCCTTAGGGTTCTCCGCCTACCGCTTCAATCTTCTCTTCTCCCACGCCGTCTCAAATCAGAATTGCACATAAAGGCATTGCGCCAATGGTCATTAGGCTCGCTGCTTCCGACCAATTGCTTTGGGGGGTTTATTAACATCGTCCATCAATCTATACACGACGATCAAGTGGGAGTCATTGGGCGTTCAACCAGCTTCTGGTGAAGAGGAAGTGGCATAGCGATTGTACAAAACACAATGCTCTCTTCTTGTATCAAAATTCTGACGTCAATCAATTGTAGGGGATGCCGCGTTTCCCCGTCCTTGCATCGGCTATGATTTCTCCTACCAGGTCGATCAATTGCACTCTCTGCGCTACCGTCCTGATTTTTCACCATGTAAGTCATTAGGTTCCTAAATATGTTTT